CGGGCGGAGCCGCCCCCGGTTCCGCACAGACGCGGGTTCCCGGGTGGGAGAATCCGCGTTAGCTCTGCCCGGCCCGGCTGGGGGCCGCCTCCGCCGCTGCTCGTTCCGCCGGGCGCTGCGCTGAGGGGCTGGGAAGTGCTCTTCTTCGTTCCGGTGTAACGCCGGCGGCAGAGACCCTCAGGCTTGAAAGACACCGTGCCCGGAAACCCTCCCCAGGAGCTCGTTATTTTCCTTTTAATAAGCCTTTTTAAGTACAAAACACTTTTCGGCGCCACATCTATACTGTTTATTTAAAATCGGTTCCTGTCTTGCCCAAGTCCTCCCCTCGTGGTTCCTGCAGCATCCCAGAGTCCGTTACGTACTTACGGATACACGCACACACGTGCCGGTCCACTTCAGGGGACTGCCTGCTTCAGTCTCGCTGTGTTTACTGAGCGGCATCATCCTTTAATTAAGTAGCTTCACCCTCAAGATTAGGGGAAACCCCCCAGGTAGAGTGTCTTAGCGGGAATATGAAATACCGTGTTGCTTTGCCCACGCTTACAGTTCAGCTCGGAATAGCGTTGCAGCACCTCAGTGTATATATAATTTTTTTTTTTTTGGCATCTGCTTCCAGGAAAAGGAAGAAAGGAGGTCTCTTGCTAGAGCCAGATGAGAAAGAGGAAGAAGAGGCTCAGCAGAATGAAGAGGAGGAGGAGGAGGAAGTGGATAATGTAGAGCAGGTGGAAAGAAACAGAGAAGAGGAAGAAAAAAAGAAAGAGGATGCTCTTTGGGCCAGTTTCCTTAGTGATGTGGGACAGAAACCCAAAGCGGGGGCTACCACGCAAGTGACGCAAGCTAAGAAGGTAACGGGGGCCTGGGCCTTCACCCAGGGAGTGTGGGAAGGGCCTGAAGCTTTAGAGCGCACAGCATTCGTTCTAGCTGGTACCTAATGTCAGTCAGAGCTGGGAAGAGGCTCGGTTCACCCCTGCCCCAACTGCTTTGTAAGCCTGGAGCCCCACCATGGGGCAAACTGTAAGCTGCTGGTTTCCTTCCAGCTGGGGAGGTCTGTGATCTGGCGGTGCTGCTTTTGGAGCTGCTTGTCAGCATCTCGGAGTGTCCCACGGAGCCCCGTTGGCTTCTCTTCCTGGTCCTGGATTCTCCTTGTGACATAGGAGCAGCACAGTGAGCTTCGGTCTGAGCTGTGCTTGTGGGCACAGCTCTCCCCTGAGGCTTGTGCCTTTCCTGATGCTCAAAAAAAGGGAGACTCCGTGTGTATGAGTGGGGAAGCAGAACAGACCTGTGCTGACGTCTCTGTGCCTTGCCCGTCATATAGTGAGGACGTCTGGAAGATGCTGCTTGTTGGGATGGACATTTGTAACAAGAATAGTTACAAATTTAGTTTACTTTATAAACTCCATTAACATGCTCTCACTCTATGCCTGCAGAGGTTTTCTGTAGAGAGAATTCTGTGTGTAATCAGCTGTTTAAAAGGATTTGGTTCTTAATAAAACCAAATGCACGTATGTGCCTTGCAAAACCTCTCACACTGGAGGTGGTAGAAGGGAAGAAGGTACCAAAACTGACCTTCTGTTGCTAGAATTGTCTTTTTTCTTTTTTTTTGAGTGGTCAGCCAAAAAAGTATTTTGTAACAAAAGTCTGGACTCTTGACTCAGTGATGCTTGGCAAGTGCAGTTCTCCTCACTGTGTGAAGCTTCTTTCCACAACCGTTGTAAGGTTGCAGAACAGGTGTAGTTGCGTAATCTTTGCTTGCAACTTTTAGAGGAAGAGTCCTTTCGTCTGAACCCTCCTGCTTCTCTCCACCTCAGTTGTTACTGGCTGAACAGCTGAGGTGGTTACAGGTAGAATTAGAGAGAAGGACAGAGGAAAAATTCTCTTCTGAGCAATTCTACTTTTATGGGCAGATCACTAAAATGTGAGTGGTCTTTGAAAGTTCCTCTGTAGCCTAGAATAATTTATGGAGAGGTGAAGTTCCTCTGTTCTCTTTGTGAACTTCAAGGAGACATCTTAAGTCCAAATTAAGATCTCTGCGGTGTGTGGGTGACTTAGAGCAAGAATTTTGGCTTTTGTTTTGATTATTTACAGGGTCTGAGGTTTTTTATGTATGCTGTTAAAGCTGTAGTTGTGAGTGAGTAAATTAAGAGGCGTTGTTGACAAGTACCTTAACAAAGGTATTTCCCTCTCAAATTAAAGAGACATTATTGGCAAGTAGCTTAATATCTTCAGGGTTCTCTATGAAGATCAGCCTTGCTTTTCCTGCTGATGGGTTTTGTTCTTCTATATTATTGAGTAAAAATAAACCTATTTCTGTGTAATCCACCCTGGCAGCTTTACTGCCTGGCGGTGCTTAGTTGGGGAGAACTGAGTCTTCAGGCTTCTGCTTGCTTTCTGGACCACAGCAGTGTATTCTTGCTCCTTCCTACATTTAATTACAACTTCACTTCTCGTTTTGGATCTGTTTTGATCCTTGAGCTCCACTGAGAGCCTGGAACCAAAGTGGGGAATTCCCTTCTGGTGGCAGGGGCGTTTGTTTCCTTTTTCTTGTCTGTGGGTGACTTGCTTTGACCGGCCAGCCGAAATTGCAGGGCTACCCGAGGTCTGTGTTGGGTCCTCGGCCCCTTTGAGTCGTAATTTGGCTTGGCTCCACAAATGCATTGTTTTGCTTTCTCCTTTGTATGTTTTGTAGGCTGAAGAAGAGAAGAGTGGGAACAAGCTTCAGGAGAAACCAAAAGAGTCTGAGAAGCCAAAAGATTCAGGAAAAGTGACAATCACCAAAGTGTTCGATTTCGCTGGTGAGGAAGTCAGGTAAGTTGGCAGATGTGATGTGTCTGCCGCGGGCTCAGAGCAAACCGAGTGCTGCTCTTCTGCTGGCAGGCTGGAGGTGTGCTGTGAAGCCTGGCATATCTTCTTTCTCCTTTACAATTTTTTTTTTATCATGAGCACATACAGACCTCAGGGAAAATGAAGCCAAGATTTTCCTGCCCGAGGGCTGCAGAGTGTCCTCATATGCAGGCCTCAGTCTTTGCTCAACTTCAAAATATGCCTGTAAATTCACTTGGGCTTCCCTGTCTGGACAGTGTTTAAAATGGTTGGCAAAGCTTCCCGGTGGCGCTGCCACTGTGGAGGCTGAGACACGGAGAGAACCGCATATGGCCCCCCAGGGATGACGGCAGTGCATTTTATTCCTTCAGTCTAGTCCAAGCCCTGTGCTGGGGGCAGGATATTTGCTGGCACTTTCCCCGGTGATGTGCACAAACCACTACAAAGAACTGCAGATGGTAAGAGGTGTTTTGCTGAACGGACTAATAGCTGAGTGCTTTTACCTCTGAAACAGCTGCAGCAAAGGTGATGGCCTAGGTAAAATCATCCTTTAGGCTGAGTTTGGCTTGCAAGGTGCCTCTCGGGATGCTCTGCAAAAAGGGGCAGGCATTTTATAAATACGTAAGACCAGAACTGCGGGGCCTGGGTGAACCCACTTGAAATCTGAATGCACTGTGACCTTGTGGTTATTACCATGGTGTATTTTTTTTTTTAATATGTAGCTGTAAACCTGGTTTTGTCAGATGAGAATTTCGCCTCTATTTTGTGTGACAGCAGAGGGCAGCAGTTCCCAGCAATAACACCCACGCTGCCTAAATCTGGAGGAGGAAGCGGAGAGCAGGGGCTTCCGCTGCTCTTGCTTTTCATGTCAGCACTGCTGCCTGAGCTGTTTGAAAAATCTGAGGAGAGCCATGAGTCATAGTAGTGACTTCCCTATTTCCCTGCACAATCCAGGCTGTAGGAATACCCTTCACTCACTGATGAAATGGCAAAGAACTGCACGACTGCAGCTTTTCTGAGAGACAGTATGTGTCATACGCTTTCTACAAAGGAAAGGCGAAGTCTTTCCCGTGGACAGATGAAAATCTGTAGCAGAATTAAAGACAGAAATTTTGTCTTCTGATGCACACTCCCCTCCTCAGCCGCCAGCTTGTTTGTCCCTGATTTTTCTGTTTTTTTTCTGGTTCAAATGCGATGTCCTACCAGGTGAGAATAGCTGAAGATACAGGATCGCAGGGCTGTCATACAAAAGCCTTGTTGAGTTCTGACGTATCATCAGATGGCGTACGGCAGAACTGCGTTCCTGGTGCTTTGGGGTGGCATGAAATCAGCATGCAATCTTATGTGAAGTCTGGACATGTCCATCTGCGTGTTGTAGGTGAGTGTCATGACCTAACGTGAGCCTAGAAGCATATCGCTTAAAGGAGGGGGTTGATTTACAGGGAAACTTGCCTTGTAGGCTTACTTCAGAACATGAGTCTTCCACTTGCGGAAAGGAATTTTTCTTTTGTGCAATTTTTTTGTGAAGTATAGGACCCTTTAAAGTAGGGAGTTAGTAAAAACATCTGCCTTGAAGCTTCTTGTTTACCTGTGTCTATGAAAAGAAGCCCCAGATAATTATGATTTAAGCATAGAATTACTCAGGTGTTGGTCTGATTCTGGCATTCTAGATTTTGCCTGGTGGTTACACATTAGCTTTACCAGTGCTGCTCTTGCTTTTATTGGTAATATTAGTTGGAGGGGCCGGGGAAACTCTGTCCTTCAGAAAGTGGCTTGCCTTATGTGAACAGAACTTGTCCAGGGCTCCTAAGATGCTGAGTTTGTGCTTTTGACATCAGTATCTTATCTGTAGTTTCTTAATAGCTATAGCTAAGTTAGATAAAGGCATATTTTTCTGCACCAGTTGCTTTTCTAGTGTCCTTTGTACTGCTCAGTACTGACTGTTTCCCCTGGGGATCTGCAAAGGAATCGATCCAAGTTTCTACTAGTTTTTGATCAAATAGGCAAAAGCTGGAGCCTGGGCGACAATGAGACTGTAATCCTACAAACCACCAAGGCTAATGTATTTTTTGTTTACAGCAGCCGTTGTATCAAGAGGTTACAGAGCCAGCAACAGAAAGCTTGCAGCGAGGTCTGGAGGACTGTTTTCTGCTGGCGCCAGAGTTACAAAGTGCTGCTTTCTTTAGCTCTTTGATAACACAAAAATCCTTCGGTGTTTTTTGCCCCCTTGATTTTTGTGATATTCAAAGCTGAAGCTTTTGTGTTGTTTGCCACATCTTGCATCTCTAAATGCGTTACACTGTTAGCTGTGGGCAGGATAGAAGGAGCTATCGCTGCTTACAGCTACCGGTGCTTTCCTGTAACGGCAGTAGGTGAGGGCCAGAGGGCTGTTTTTTCTTTAGAATAGTGGGAGGTTGTCTTTGCACGACCCTAAAGTCTGCAAATGCTCTGAATACCAAACGTTGACTTCCCTGCCTGGGGAAGCAGCTGGCAAATTGTTGGTTACAAAGGCCAGCACACGGTAGTTGTGTGTGCGCGCGCGTTTCTGGACTGAAAGAACTGAAATGAGAGGGCTGTCTCTGTTGCTTTCCTTTCTAAATGGTTCGAGGCTACTTTTGAGTGTTGCTCTTTTGAAAGCTTGAGAAGAATTTAGATCAGTATTTAAGCACTGATAGATTCAGGGCACAAATTTCGACAGTCTGCTCGCTGAAGCTCCTAACAGAAGATCATTTAGCCCTGATCTCATGTTGCAGAACGATTTATTTTCTCCTGTAAGAAGACAGTATAATCTCTCTTGCGTGACTGGAGTAGCAGAAGTCTCTTGAAAGAAATCTCCAGCTACGGGGCTGTACTAGAATAGTGAAAGACCTTCCTCTTTAAGCTGTCGCCTCCCTTATAGGTTACTGTTGCACTTAGTGTCCATTTTGATTAGCCTGTGCTTGTATCAGTTGCTAATGCTGAACTTTAGGCTCAGAGTATTACGAATTACTAATTACCAAATAAAGAATTAAATTTAGTGGCTTTTAATTTTATAAAATACATGATTTTAGTATTACCTTGTAAAACCAAAGCTGTTGAATCCTGGAACTAGAAGCAATCTTGCACTGATTTCTGTGTTTTCCAGTTGTGACTGTTCTGTCTGCCTTTCATTCCTCCCTGGTGTTAAACAGATGAGGAGCAGCAGGTGACTGTCACCCAGATGGCTGTAATTGTGGGCAGTGGGAGCAATTTGCAAAGGCAGTTCAGCATCTAAATGGAAGTTCAAGTCATTTCTCACTGGCAGAGGAGATTGAAGCCCCTTTGAAGCCTCTGGTTTATGAACTTGCCTGACGATGCAGGACGTGTGGTTGCATTAATAGGGAATCGCGTCCCTGGTGCCAGGGTTTATCTGTTGCAAAATGCAATTGCTGCATGATGAGGCTTGTTTTCTCTTTGGCCGTCCAAACTACTTTGGCCCTTGGCTTTCTTTGAACCGCTGTTGTGCTCGGTGTATCAAAATGGTTCTTCTGTGCTCCTTCCCTGAAAGTCAACTTTGTGTCCATCCAGGACTGCAGCAGAATGCAGCTCACATACGTGGAGCTGGCCCAGCCCCGTGGTGTCAATCACAGTCAGCCTAACAACTTGCGAGGGAAGAGCAAAGTCGGGTCATTGAATGCTAGCAGGAGTAGGTTTCAGTTAGAAACATCTTCTGTGTACCTTATTTCGCTTGCGGGAGGCAAAACGAAGTTGAGAGGAGTAATGGTGTCTGGCTTGGGTGCTAATTCGGGAATGGGAGGCCTGTGTTCGACACCCGGCTTTGTTCATACATTGCAAATTCCAAGTAAAGGACTCAAACCTAGAAGCTTCGTATTTCTGTGCATATGTGCTTTGTTCGTATGGTTTACGTCCGAAGTTTTACACACTCAGGTTATTCTTAATGGTGGGAATGCTTTCCTGGTACTGCAGAGTTGCCGTGCTGTGCTGATAGTGTTGTGTTGTGCTGGCAAACCTGTGGCTTGTGCTGCCTGAGTGACCCTCGGCCAGTTCCCCGTGTGTGTGAACAAAGCAGCCAAGCCAAAGCAAAGCCGTAGTAGGGCTCCACTCTCCATCTGTCACTAGGGAGAGCCCTGCTCTTTTCCTGAAACCTGTCACAGCTCCCTTTACTTTCCCACAAGGCTGTCTTCTCCAGGAGTGTCAGTCTGGAGAAGTCGGAAAGGCTCCCAGCAAGCTGGGCAATGGCCTCAGACCTCCGCACTGTGGTCCTTTCCTGCCCGGCCCTCACCGCTGGTAGGTGGCAAATAGCTAACTTCTCGGAGGCTTGGTGGCAAATAGCTAACTTCTTGGAGGCAATTGCTCCTGACCTCTGGAGGACTTGTGGATTCGATTTTGCATCAACCCTTGAGCCCTTTTCTCAAGCGTCTTCCCTGTGCTTGCATGCTCGGAACCTGTTTCTTTCAGCGTTCTCACGTGTCTGGCAGGTGTTCCTGTGATGTGAGTAATTCTTGGCTTCTCGCCACATCTGGGGCCAGAATTGTCATGCAAGCTGCATGGCCGCTGGCAGCATGCTGGGCCTGGATCCATGTAGAAATGCTTCAGGAGGAGGTTTCAAGATTTCCTCTCCATGTCTGCAGTGTGAGCTCTCTTCTGCTGTCTAGATGCTGGGGTAAGCGAGTGCAAAGATCCAGCCGGTACTTTCTTGCACACTGTGTGTCTTCCTCCTGCTGAGCAGCTGATAAGTGCTGAAGGCATCATTCTTACTGCTGTGTCAGAAACTGCCAGGCCACAGGGCCCTGAACCTGAAGCATTTACAGCCGGGGAGCTGGGGGTTTATGGTGGACCTTGCATAACGGGTAAATGCTAGTCCAGTGAACTCTTCGGTTACTTTCGTATTTGAGGGCTGAGCAGATGGGTGAGATTTTGCTGAGTTTGACTGAAGCTCATCTTTTCAGGCTGAGCTCGGTAATTTTTATCTGCTTTTTAAGTGCCTGCTTCCTGATTAATTCAGG